GTAGGATGTTGGCAGAAAAATAGAGACATAAATCAATGGAAACAGGACATAGAGCCCAGAAATAAATCCACAGTCAATTAATGGTCAATATGGTCAATTAATCTTTGACAAAGGAGGCAATAATATGTAATGGGAAAAATGCAGTCTTTTCAAAAACAGTGTAGGGAGAACTGGACAGCTACATGCAAAAGAATGAAACTAGATCTCATTCTTTCACCATACACATAAAGAAGTTCAACATTGATTAAAGATCTACATGTGAGGGGCGCCTGAGTGGCTCAGTGGTTGAGCATCTGCCTTCAGCTCAGAGCATGATCCCAGGATCCAGGATCAAGTCCCACATTGGGCTCCTTGCAGGGAGCCTGCTTCTCCCTCTGCCTGTGTCTCTGCCTTTCTCTCCGTGTGTCTTTAATGAATAAATAAATAAACTCTTAAAAAAAAAAAAAGATCTAAATGTGAGATCTGAGGGGTGCCTGGCAGGCTCAGTCCATACAGCATGCAACTCCTGATCTTGGGTTGTGAGTCCAAGTCCCACATCGGGCAAAGAGCTTACTTAAGAAAATAAATGTGAGACCTGAAACCATAAAACTCCTAAAAGAGAACAGGCAGTAATCTCTTGGAGATTGGCTTTAGCAACATATTTTTGGGTATGTCTGCTCAGTGAAGGACAACAAAAGCAAAATAAACCATTGGAACTACATCAAAATTAAAAAAAAAAAAGAAACATAACAAAACTTTTGCACAGTAAGGAAACCAACAAAACCAAAAAGGAACCTACAGAATGGGAGAAGACAGTAGTGAATGATAAATCTCATAAAAGATTAATAGTCAAAATATGTAAAGAACACCAAAAAAAAAATCCTACAAATAATCCAATTGAAAAACTGGGCAGAGGACCTAAATAGACATTTTTCCAAAAAAATACATGCAGATGCCCAACACACACGTAAAAAGATGCTCAACATCACTATCATCAGGAAAATAAAATCAGAACCACAATGAGATTTATCATCTTATACCCATCAGAATGGCTAGTATTAAAAAGACAAGAAAGAACAAGTGTTGGCCAGGAGGAAAAGAAAAAGGAACCCTTCTGCACTGTTACTGGGAATGTAAACTGGTGCAACCACTGTGGAAAACAGTATGGAGTTTCCTCAGAAAACTAAACATAGAATTACCATACGCTTCAGTAATTCTACTACTTGGTATTTACCCAAAGGAAATACAAACACTGATTCAAAAAGATATATACACTCCTAGGTTTATTGCATCATTATTTACAATAGCCAAGATATGGAAGCAATCCAAGTGTCCATTGATGGATGAATGGGTAAAGATATGGTATATGTATGCAATGGAATATGGCCCAGCTATAAAAATGAATGAGATCTTGCTGTTTGTGACAATATGGTAGACCTAAAGGATATTATGCTAAGTGAAATAAGTCAGATAGAGAAAGGCAAATACCATATGATTTCATTTATTTGTGGAATCTAAAAAATTAAACAAATGAACAAACAAAGAAAAAAAACAGAAACAGACTCTTGAATACAACGAACAAACTTGTGGTCGTTGGAGGGGAAGTGGATGGGAGGATGGGTGAAATAGGTAAAGGGTATTAAGAGGTACAAATTTCCTGTTATAAAATAAAATAATTTCCTGTACTCATCGGGAGATGGAAAATAAAGCATTGGGAATATAGTCGATACTATTGTATACGTTTGTATGACAAGAGGTGATGATACACTTAATTGTGGCGAGCACTGAGTAATAGAATCGTCAAATCACTATATTCTACACCTGAAACTAATTTAACATTGAATGTCAGCTATATGTCAATAATAAAATTTTTTTTTAAGTGTAGCATGACAGAAGTTCTGTGGATTGGAGGAACATATTGTGGGAAAAATCTGGGCATTGAAAACTCTCAGTTAGAAAGTAAATAAGAATAGTGAGATCCTGAATGTGAAGCTCTGGAAAAACATTAACCAGCTATCTTAACTTTTATTTTTATGTATGCACTAAGGCGATACATGATAAAAAAAAAATCTGTCTAAATACTTATCAAAGAGCTTTTTCAATACATTTAAATTGAAATATTAATGAAAAGAAAACATTGTATCATAGTTTGAAAGGTAGCATTTTTTTTTCTTTCTTCTTAAAACATACCAGTAAATGAGGCCAAGACTCAATGAAATATGGCTTTAGCCCCAATTATGTAAAAGCATGAATCCCTGGCTTATCAAAACCTAAGGAATCTACTGCACAAATGGATTGCTCTTAGTACTCGGGAGCCTTTTGTGCAGACTATAAACCAAAAGCTGAATATTAATCGAAAATTATTTAATTACATTACAAAGTTATATTACTTGGAAGATGTATTTAAAGGACTCAAAGTTAAAAGATCTCAGTATAATACGGTTTCTATAATTATCCTCACAGAGAACATTACTTATAAAAGTTAATGATGTAGAATCATGATGGTAGCATCAAGTAGGAGGTTGCCAAGCAGATGGGAATGTTCTTTGGTTTTTGTTTTCCAATTGTTTTCTTCCCTTTCCTTGTTTCCTTCCACAAGGAGAATCAGCCACCTGTCTTTAAAAGGCTGAAATATTTTTACTTTTCTTGGTTGGAAACGCTTGCTTAAACAAAGTAACACTTGGTTGCTAAACACTTCATTCTAAACTGACATAGACATCTAATTTTTGTTTGGCAAGTTTTTGGATAACAATTTGATCTCCCAGTCTGTTTCTTTTGTAACCATATAATCCTCTCCCCAATGTTGCGAGCTGTGTGAGCTACAAGCACTTGTGAGCTCATAAACACAAAGGCTCTATGGTTTCTTTGGGATTAGCACCATGCAAATGCAAATTTGGGACAATGGAAGACTGTGTCCATCCTTGTAACTGTTAATTGCTCTATTTTGTGCTTCTTCTGGGTAGTAAAGCAAGCCATTGTTTTTAAAATACACACTCACTTTAGCTGCTCTTTCATTGGCTACCTGGAGAGAGAAGGAATTCTTGCCTATAGATTTCACTATAATTGTCTAGATCCCATTCAATTATATTTTTATAGATCACATTAGCTCTTACAGGTGTGTTACAGAATTCCCAACTGCAGAATTTGAACTTGAGCTTTGGAGTTTTACTTTTGCATCTTCAATCTATGCATCATTGACCTTTTAAAGTCTGATTACCTTGTATATACTCTCTTCAAAATCTTTTGCTGGTTAGCACAGTTGATGATATGCTGGAAACCAGCTCTTTTCTGCGGTATAATTCTTCCAACGGAGTTGAAATGCTTTGCAAACAATTTCACAATACATCAGCCAATCCATATAGAAAGCAATGTCATGTGAATCCCTTCCTTTTTAATATATTGTCTTTCAGTAGTTATCATGAATTCATGCCCCTACATGGGCTCTGGTTCGGGAGGAGGAAACAGGGGCTTGAGAGGGGAGGGCAAGAGCAGAAGCTGGCCACCTGCTGTTAGAATTGACCTTAGTTGGTGGTCCCAACATCTTCATCCTTTATGCATGCTCAGAAATAGCAACATGCCTTTTCCTTTTATGTAATCATTATTTAGTTAATACCCAGTAGGATTTGTAAGCCCTTCACATCTCTGTGGATTTATTTTATTTCAGAGTGCAAGTGACTTTATGGCCCAATTACCATCATTATGGCTTATTGCACTATTTGTGGGAGGGAGATAGGAGCAAAAGGACCGGCCCTATGCATCGCCATCAAGAGAATGAGCGCCACACACTCCTGGCCAAGGACGACGGGTGGATGATACCTTTCTGTTCTATTGTTTATCGGAGAACTGAAGCCTGGGTGACTGTGCTATATTTTAATAGACGAGAGTATCAAACGTATGAGTAAGGATGTTGCAACAGTGGTGGTAGAGTGATGAATATTTGGGATGTAATGAATATTTTGAGTTTGAAAGGTGTCACACGTCAAAGACGAGGATTGGAATGACTAAGACCAGATCCTGCCACCCTCACATTACCGGGGTATTGAAGCAAGACTCAGTTAGCATCTGACCCCAGAAATGGACCGGCGAGGCCGGCTCCTAATTAGAGCAAGATTCCCGGAAGCCAGGGAGCCCTTGCGCTTGGAGAAGCTCGGGGCGCAGCCGCCGCAGCAGCGGCCGCCGCGACCCTCGGGCCCGCCGCCTACCTGGAGTCTCGGCAGCGCCTGGTTCAGAACCACCGGGGCGGACAGCTCCCCGGCGCCAGGCGCCGCCTGCCGGGGGGACGGCGCGCGGGGTTCGCGCTCCGCGAGCCCGCTCGGGCGGCGGGAAGAACTGGCCGGGTCCCCTCCCCCGCCGCCCCTCTCCGGCACCCACGCGGGTCCTCCCTTCCCCCTGCGCGTAGCCGTCCCGGGCACACATCCCCGCAGGCGAGGGAGCCGCCGGTCGCCCTCCCCCTCCCCTCGCCCCGCCCCGCCCCGCCCCGCGCCGGCCCCGCCCCGCCCCCCCGCCCCGCGCCGGCCCCGCCCCCCGCCCCGCGCCGGCCCCGCCCCGCCCTGGCTCCCCATTGGCCGGCGGGCCGGAGGTGCGAGGAGGCGGGGCCCGCCTCTGGCGGCTCGCGCCCGGGAAGGTCGGCCGGGGAGCGCCGGGTGCCGCGGGAGGGCGCGCGGGGACGCGGCGGGCGCCGAGGAGACGCAGCGGCGGCGGCGGCGGCGGCGGCGGCAGCAGCGGCGGCAGCGGCGGCAGCGGCGGCGGCGCCTGGGCCCGGCCGCAGCCCGTGGGCCTCCCGCCCGCGCGCCCTGCGTCCCGCCGCGGCCCGCAGCCTGCGGCGCGCCAGCTCCGAGGGCGCTTCCCCGGGCGCCGGGCCCGAGGCGGCCAAGACGGCGGGCCGGCCGGGCGCGGGGCGGCGGGCGCTGTGCTGCGGGCTGCGCTGGTGGGGGGCGGCGGGCCGCGGCGCGGGCCCGGGGCCCGGCGCGTGCGGCTGGGAGGCGCTGTGGGGGGCGGGCGCGCGGGCGGCGGCCGGGGCTATGGCCGAGGGCGGCGGGGGCGCGCGGAGGAGGGCGCCGGCGCTGCTGGAGGCGGCCCGCGCGCGCTACGAGAGCCTGCACATCTCGGACGACGTGTTCGGCGAGTCGGGCCCGGACAGCGGCGGGAACCCCTTCTACAGCACGTCGGCCGCCTCGCGCTCCTCCTCGGCCGCCTCGTCGGACGACGAGCACGAGCGCCCCGGGCCGCCGCCGCCCGCCGCCGCCGCCGCCGCCGCCGCCGCCGCGCCGGAGCCGGAGGAGGACGAGGCTGGCGCGGGCTGGACCGCCACGCTGCGGGACCGGCCGCCGCCGCGCTTCGAGGACACGGGCGGTGAGGCGCGGCGCGGCGCGGCGCGGGGCGGGGCGGGCGGCGCGGGGGCGGCCCGGGAACTCCGGACCCCGGGGGCGGCTGCTCCGCCGCAGCTGGGCGCGTCGGGGCTCCCTGGGGCCCAGGCGGCGGGGGTGTGAGGGGCGGGAATCAGGCTGCCCACGTAGGGCCCCGAGTTCCCGCGGGCGCACAGCACGGGGCCGGGCCGGGGCCGGGCCAGCACCCCGCCGCCGGCCTGGACCTGGAGGGGCCCTTCCCTCGCTTGCGGGGAGCGTCCGAGTCGCTCACACCTGTGGGGTCGCGCTTGAGGGCTGCGTTGGAGTTAGGCTTCCCAGTTGGAGGGACTCCGAAAACCTGACGCTGCGTGTGTGTGCGCGTGTGTGGGCATTTTGTACTGGTGGCCCCAGAGCAGCCTTACCCAGGTGCCAGGGGTGGGGCAGGGGCAGTTGGAGGGAGGCGCGGTGAGAGCCTCGGGAGGGGCCACCCAGGACGTCCTCACTGGCTTGTGTTTTCTCCAGTTATCCTGAAAAACTTTGTCCGTGCCTTTCAGGATCACTTGCTAAGAGCAGAGAAGAGCGAAAGGACAAGTTTAGCAGCGTTAAGGTGTATGTATGCGCTTGGGCCAGAACACTCCTCCATTTGTGTTCTGCCGACCACCGACCACCGCCGTCTTGGCCAAGCCCCTGATACCTGGAGGTCGCAGGAGTGCTGGCAGCTGGGGCTGCTTGAGGTCCTCTTTTACTGCCTCCTTTTTTGAGAGTTGGTTTTAAAACATCTCACCCTGCAGAAGCTCTGAGGCCTCTGCCCTCTGGGACAGGTAGAGACCAACCAGCTGTGCCCACCCGTCCCCGGATGCGTTCGTGCCTTGCTCAGCAGCCTTCTGTGGCAGACCCTTGTTTCTGCACAACATTTTTGTGTGGAAGGGTGTGCAACCGGTGTTGCTGAGGACCAGGGAGTGGCCAGACCCGGCATGATGCGGCTTTTCCTGGGGCTCTGCCTGAGGATTGTTCAACCAGTCAGGAATACAGCGCATAGGAGGACAGACCCAGGGGACCCCTGGCCAGTGCCTGGGCTTGGATCTGGACATCATTGCTGCAGCCTGCTGCTAGGCTGGTTGGGTTGGCTGGACTCTCAGCAGGGAGTGGTCTGCAAACCTCCAGCAGGCAGGCTGCAGTGTGGACGCACTGAGCTTTGCAGGGTCCCAGTTAACTGTGCAGCGTTTTGGAATGGGTAAATTTAACAAAATGTTCTCGTTTAGGCTTTGGTTAAGAGTTTGGGCGTGTCCAAGGTCATGTCACTCTGTATAATCCTTTGAAACCCCCTACATTTTCCAGAATGTCCTAAGGGCTTGCAGCCCCAGACGCCTGTTTTCCATTAAATTAGCTCTTTAAGAATTGTACGTACCCAGAGCTCTGGTTTGGCAGACTTGATGCTGTGAGTGTTGTGATCCAGTTTTTTGATCTTGGAACTTGAGACACATGTCCTCTTGTTTCCCTAACATCTCCAGGGGAAAACAGGGGAAATTGTGTTAGGTTAGGCCTGGTTATGAAGAAGATCCTTGAGTGTGTGGGTGTTGGAAAGGATGAACACACCTAAATAAATTTTAAAGCAATATTATATTTCTTAGTAACCTATACTATAGAGAAATTCTGCATCAGAGCAATTTAATCTAGCCACTGCAGCACTTAAATGGTCATGAAGTGCAGGATCATGTGTCATTTAGTACTAGGTTCAAATTCTGCTTCGTTTGGATGTTCACTGAACTTACACCTAGACCTGAGAATCCCAGGCAAGCGCTTTAACCAAAGACATTTGTGGTTATTTGATGGTATTTATACCCAATTTTGTTTTCCGGTTTTGTGTGGAAACTTGCTTTTAAAATCCAACCCTAATGAAGAATTTCCTTTCCTCCTTGAAACAGTCTTTCCCTGAGGGAAATTTGGAGTGGTGGTGGTGGAGGGGTGAGGTTGATGGTTTATTAAGCTTGAGTTCAGATTGCCTGAAACAATGGGATATGATTTATGGGAGCTGAAAATAGGCACTGGGCAGAGAAAACCCTTGTGCCTAGTGGCGACGGGGTGGGGGGGTGGGGATGGACATGTTTATTAGAGTCTGAGAGCTGCACCCTGGTCGCTCTGAGAGCAAAGAGGTTCAGGCTCTGAGGTTTATCAAAGTATAGAATCTAACCCTACTTTCAAGGAATGCAGTTTGGGCCTTTCTTCCATCTTTGATCTTGGTTTGTTAACAGATCTCACTGGGCTGGTAGGGTAGGACAGGGAGGCAAGCCAGGAGGGTGGTGTTTTGATCTGTAATCAGCCCTCATAAGAAAATTTGTGGCATAAATGGCTGTTGCTGCTAGAATCAGGTGAGGAAAGCAAAGGGTTTTAGACTTAGGGAACAGGCTTGCTTACCTTCTGCTGTAAAATCATGTTTATGTATGTAAATAGGGACATGTGTGAACGAGTATGTGTGCAACTGTGTCTTATATGTAAATACATATTGCTGGTTTGGGCCAGTTAGGGTTTTTTCGGTTTTTGTTTTTAATTAGAAAGAGATTACAACTGCTGTCTGGGAACCCTCTGGTGGCCTAGAGTCCCTGTGCATGAGAGAGGCGTGGGCACCGGGCACCATTGAACTTTGATTCACATTTGCAGTGCACCCAGTAGGGAGACACTTGGTGCCCAGCTGAGGGGAGGAGGGGGAGGGAGGCAGAGGCATTTCTGGGGTTAAAGTGGAGACTCCGCTAGCTGCTCTTCAGAGCGTTCTAGGCTTCCCAGACTCTTCTGTTTTTTTCCATGTATTTAGCTTCCTGGGATCAGGTGCTCCAGAAGTGCAGCCAGCAATTATGGGTGGAAAGGTCCCCTCCCTCCTCCCTCTCCCCTCCTCCCCAGGTTCTGATTGTGCCTGGAGATGTGTCCCCTTGAGATGATTTAAATACAAAGACCAGGTTTTGGGAGCTGGCTGCAGGCTCTTAACCCCTGTGTGAATGGAGGGTCAGCCTTGGAGTTGGAAATGCTTACTGGGAGCGCAAGGCCCTGAGAACCCTCTGCAAATCAGACTTGCAGTTATCTCTCTAAAATATCCCCCTCAAGCTGTCAGCCTGGCCTGCCCACTGTGCAAATAACCGACACAGCATGTGAGCTCACTCTTTGGAGACAGCATAAAATCAGGCCCGGCTGCCTTTTGGGCTTCTGCCCTTTTGGTTTCTTATTCTGAGCAGTCTTGTGATTCCTTCTCTCTGAGGAGGCGAAGGAACAGACAGATTCACAGATGCTCTGGGGCTCCTGTGTGTGCAGCTTTGTGGGTCCTTTGTCGTGGCTGGCTGGGATCTGAGCTGTTTGCTCTTTATATTAGAGGTTGGACTTCATAGGAGCGTTTTTGCCATGTACCATGTCAGCAGCCTTCTGTAATCATTCAGTAGGGAGGTATGACCTTGAGAAGCTGGTGAGGACCACAGGGCTTTGAAAATTAACATTGTTAAATGTTTTATCCTAGGGTTTGTTGTTGGCTTGTTTGGCTTAAAATCTTTTTTTCTAACAAGAGGAGAAAAATCTCTCTCTTGAACCAGAATTAAACGGAGCCTTTCATAATGGATTTATGAGCTCAGGTACCTGGGCCCCTGTCAGTGGTGTCCAGGAGCAGCTGCTCCCACGTTCAGGTCTGTACCACATTCTGTGGCTCCGGGAGGAACTCTGAGTCTGGGTGAGCTACAAGGTACATCTTATGAGTGCTCCATAATAACCAACCAAACATGTGCCACCACCAGGGAGAATTCAGAGAAGGAGCTGCCTGGAGAGAGGTTCTCTTCCGTAGTGAGGATGACACTGATCATCACTGGCAGTCCCCGTGATGCTTTTTCATCATCACCCTGAACCTTCCCAAGTACTCAGAGAACAAGCATCACCTCTGCTTCACAGAGAAACACAGATGGGGTGTTGTAGGCAGGGTCTGGGGCGATGAGATTACCTGGTGGAATGCTAGCCTTCTAACTAGGTAGACTTGAGCATTCAGGGATGGTTGTAGCTTTTTATTTTTTTCTTTGCAGCTTCTAAAGCCTTGTTCAGTCAGAAGTATTTACTTTCATATTTTTACACAGAATTGCTTTTAACCTTTTATGGGCGGGGGCAATATGCAGTTCTGTGAGGTTTAATGCCTGTATGGATTTGTGTAACCAATCTCCACAGTCAGATAGGGGACAGAAAATCTGAAATTTATCTATTTAATCCCTGCTATGCCTCGGCCATTGTGATGAGAGTTTAGAGTGTTTCTGCAGGTAGGGCATTGAATACATTGGCAGTCTGGGGGTTTTGTGAAGTCAGGTACTCAGTTTTAAAGTCCAAAACTCACCTTTACTATTAAGAACTATGATTATATATTTATTTAACCATATATGTACATCTTAAGGGGGGGGGAATGATAAAATTTTAAGAAATCCCATTATTTCTCATTACCGTAGATGATCATAGTTAAACATATTGAGTGTATCCTTCATCTATCTTAAGTTACATCTTGTTGGGCAATCTGCTTTTTACTTCTAATTAATATATCGTAAATGTTCTCCATTTAAATTTTAGAATGTCAGTTTTAATGAGTCTGTAATATTACACAGTTCCCTCTGGGTGGGCATTGAATTCATTGACTCCTCCCCCTCTTATTTATTATGTGATGATAAATATTCTTGAGGCTTAAGTTTGTGTGCACATCCTTATTAGCACATTCCTTAGCATAAAATGATCAAAACAGAATTGAATTAAGGACATGTAAGGTTTTTGATATCTGGTGAAACAGCCTCCCCGAGATGCACCTACCATACTCCTGCCTGCAGTATATCAGAAAGGCTGTTAGAAGATCTTGTGTAGCGAGGACAGTACACCAGAGCGTGTTCCTGCTGGTAGGGTGCTCTTAGAGAACCATTGCACTGAATAAGGCCTGTTGAGGTGTAACACACATACAGTGCATGAGTCGTAGTCCACAGCACAGTGTGTGTAACTATTACCTAAGTG